AGCAGCTCAAAAACAGCTGATAAAATCTTGCTTTTAAAGTAAATACATTGCAGCATCTCTTCCATATCTTGTTGGTCTTCAAACACACATTTACCTTCTTCACTGATGGGACAGAAAACTTTCAGAGTTTGTTTAAACATGTTTCTTTAGCACAGGCTCCTGTAACGTCATACAGCACGTGTCTGACAAGCTTCATCTTTAGATTCCACTCATACTCAGGTATTCAGGACATATGCTGGTCTATCCTTCAAGCTTGGTCCTCCACCAGAGGCCTGGGAGCTTGAGGGTCCTGCGCAGTACCGTAGCTGTTCCTAAGACTGCGCTCTTCTGGACAGAGATCTTGGATGTTGTTCCTGGGATCTGCTGGAGCCACTCGCCTAGTGCTTGTTCATAGCAGGGAAGATGTTTAATGTGTTCCTTGATCATCAGCAGGTAGTAATGTATTCCTGGGAGAGAAGAGCAGGTGACATAGACGGGTATGGCACTCCCCCAGAAATCTTTATTGTGAAAAATCCTCAGTGTGGATAAATGCCAACTTTTCCTGCAGTGTTTCCTGACAGCAGGCGAGATGAGCTTCATTCTAGTTCGTGTTATCTCCTTTATCCCGTAAACTCTGGGGCTTGGACGCTGTAATTTGTCTCTGTTAGTTTAATAATACTTTCAGCATATTGGCTCGGGGTGATTTATTTCATCTACTCATTTAAATTAGAACTTTTAGCTCAGGACCAAATGATGCATGCACGCGAACCCGCTGCCGTATGAGAACTTTTCAAAGAGGTTTTTAATCTAGATTAAAAATTCAGGCAGATCCAACCAGTGTGCCCTTGTACCCTTACAGTTTGGGCATCCAAATCATGGATGATTTATATCACCAATGGCTGTTGTCCAAACGATAATGTAATGCTTCTGTTTCTCATTTTTTTTAAAGCTTGTTTTTTGGCCTTCTGCCTTTATTGAATAGATGCAATAGAGATATGAAACTTGGGGAACGGAGCAACTGAATGACAAGCAGCAAACGTCAAGCCAGCCAGGAGGTGAACCGGGGACTCGCCATTGGCCAGCAGCTTGGCCGCTGGTTTGTGCAATCGTTAACTTTTAAAATGTTTTCTCCTCTTGCTTTCCCTCTTTCCACACAGCCATTGGTTTCTGTTACAGAGAAACTGCCACAGATCAATAATCCATCACAGTGAACATAACATGGGTTGTTATTTGGGCCAGCGAGGTAGTGTGAGACCTTATAGCTGCAACTGCAAAGATCCAAAGAAATAACCCGACTTTGACAACAGGAAAAGCAGGCATGAAACTGTGTGTGATGGATGAAAGGAGTCGGGCAGCATATTTTGGACCTTGTGGGGAAGAGAGCGAGGACAAAACCCAGAAAAAGCTTACAAAACCGTGCATTCTGGGAAATGTAGGGCACTTGGGCAAAAACTCCCCAAGTGTGCTGAAATCTGCCAAATACAGGCAGCAAAATGCATGACTTTCACTTTCCTTTAATTGTCTTATATTATTGCTATACGACTACTGTTGTCTGCACAGCTGAACAAGGTAACTGTGGGGTATTTGCACAGCGCCCGAGAGACGGCCCACATATTTCCACACGGTGTGAATCTTAATTGAATCTGAAGTGCTTTCTGTGACTGGTGGTCAACCTGGCAATTTGAAGTGGCTGCAGAGGAGAGGTCGGTGTGACGGTGACGGGGCAGAGATAAGTGCCGGCATTCTTGCGGAGAGAGGAGTATGTTCCCCACAGTGCCTTGCTCAAAGTGGCTGTGGAGAAATTGAACTGTGGCTGGTGAGGAGCTCGCTAAATTGCTTTCGAGTCCCTCCACTTGTGTTGTTCCAGTGCTTGAGCTCAAGAAAATGAGGGCTTTTTCTTTTTTTCTTTTCCTCCAGCAGATTTCTGAAGAGGTCTGATGACAGACACTCTGAGAGCAGGATGGCTGAAAATATAGTGGAGCAGCAGAAGAAAGTGGTTACCATATAGTTGCAAACTGCAGTATAAAGATGTGTTATTGAATATTTCTTCTGTGAGAAAGTGATGAGCTTCAGATAATGTACAACAATAATGTGCACGGTTGGTAGGATTCAACATAAAAATGATAAATGATACATGAATACTCATAATATAATTAATCATTGAAAAAGACATTAGAAAGTTTGCACCTGCCCTACACTTAAAGCTGTGTTGAGCACACTTTGACCACTAGGGGGCAGAATATGTGTAAATAAAGCAACATAGCCAAATATCCTGAACTCTTATGGTTTATTTTTTGATAGTGGTGAGGAGAGCATGATTTTATGCTAAAACTGCTAAAACAGCAGCACCTGATGCCTTTTAAACAGACCGCCTCCAGCCTATGTGCAGTCAAACCATAATAAAGATGCACGTGAAGCTGTAATAGTGTATGTTAATCACCTTAAGTAGATATAATTTAGGTAATTATAGCTTGCTTAAGAAAAAGCTGCTCAATACGTAGCTTCGTTTGTTGTTTTCAGGGTTTTTTTCCCCATAATTTCTAGAAGAACAGTAGAAAGATTGACAGTTTCACAAATAACGCGCAGAGCTGTTTTTAGTACGTGTCTGCTACTACTAACGTTTCTGTAATTAGTGGTAAACTACCTCAGGGCTCTGATTTTTGAGATACTATATTACAGCTAAGTGACTGGTCCACTGCAGTGATTGGCAGGTGATGAGAAAGTGTGGCTGGCTGACAGATGAGACAGAAAATGTAATAGAGAATAAGAGCAGTGGTGGTGAATGTGGGGGAAAAAAGCCCTGCAAAGGTAGGGAAGATGAGATGTAACAGCTGGACTCCAGGAGTGGAGAGTGGCGGTCAGAGTCATTCAGGGTTCGGTACAAGCCAGCTGTCAGTGCTAATAGACAGAAAAAGATGGAGGGAGGGGAAAGGAGAGGAGGGAAAATAGGAAGAGATGTTCAGGCCAAACAACCTGTCACTAGCTATAACGGAGCATAACGCAACACAGCTGCCTTGTCTGAATGTCAGAAAGAGAAACTTCCCTGGCAGTTTGGAGAAGAGTCTGCAAAACGATATTCTCATATGGATAGATGCTATCTGATTCAGTGGCAGGGCTGGGCCCAGAATAGCAATGATGCTCTTAGTCAGATCTGCTGAGAACAAGTTAGCTCCGACACGTCCTTCACGTCAGCATCACAGCTCCCTCCTTTTTTCTCTGATAAGTCTGTTTTTGCTCACTTTGGTCATGAATAAATGTCCAAAGGATGTCCAGAAAT